GCAGAAAATAAAATTAAATTCTTTCGCCTCAATTTACTTCTTTCTACTCGGAGGGCCTTGAACCGAAAATCTTTTTTTTTTTTTAAGGGCGCCACACACCCGTCTGTAAAGAAAGGTAATTTTTTTTTTTTTAAAAACCAATTTTTACGGTGGGAAAGGATCTAATTATTTTCGACCTCCCTTTATTTTGGGGGGGGGGGGGGGGTGCGGGGGGGGGGGGCTACTCCCCCAAAGTCAAAAATCGGCTCAAAATCATGGAATATGAGTTGTAGGCATTTTAGCTTCCTCAGCCTCTCCTACAACTATTTCATCTCATAAGAACCCCCAAAAATTTTTCCCATACCGGTCATGTTTGTAACCGCCATTTCCTCATTAAGTCAGTATTTTATTTTTCTTTATCGGCCGTTTTCTAAAAACGCGACTTTTCTCTATACTTTTCTGAATAACTCCACCATTTTTCATCCAATCCTCATGAAACTTTCACATAATGAAGAGAAGATGCAATACTAAAGATTTGTTTGTTGAATTTTTGATATATGGAATAGATTTTTGTTGGTGGTGTCTGGAGTGTGGATTTTCACGGATTTTTCGCAAACTTGAATGCTACCTCAGAAAAAAAAAAAAATTCATTAAAAAATTTCTAATTAGTTTAGGAAAAAAACAACAGATGTGATTTTAGATCTAATGTTTGTAAACACGCATGCGAAAAAAAACAATCAATTTCCATGAGCAATAAGTGCGGTATTCATTACGTAAGACATGTCAATAAAATCCAGTATGGCCTCTTATCCATGGAAACGAAATTTTTTTCTCAAAGTTGATTGCGGATTTTAAGACTCCTTTCTATTCGTGTTATATGTGTGAAATTTGGTAAAATTCGGTCCAGTAATAAGCGAGATAGCCTTCAGGTGTAGCCCCCTCTCCTTAAACGAAGAGACCACAAAAACACTGGTAACATCTCTTATCCTATCTAGATTAGACTATTGTAACTCACTCCTAGCAGGTCTGAACAACAAATATTTGAATCGTTTACAAGTAATTCAAAACAATGCCGTTAGACTGATAACAAGATCTAAAAAAACGAGACCATGTCCCTACATTATTAAAAGAACTGCATTGGCACCCTGTAAAAGAAAGAATGATATTTAAAATTTGCGTCATGTGTTTCAAATGTGTAAATAAAACTGCTCCTTTTTATCTACAAGAACTTAACAGTATTTATAAGCCAGGGAGAAACCTAAGATCATCAAACGATAACACCCTACTTGTGACACCTTTAAAATCATACAAATCATATGGAGAGAGATCTTTCTCATATCTTGGTCCATTT